TTTGACAATTTGAATTGTCAATTTTTTTATTTTATGATTAAATTATAAACAATGAATTTTACTAAATACTACTACTAATGAACATTATTACTTTGTGAACAATAAATTATATTGTTTACAAATCGATCAATATAATGAAATGTACTCAGTTGACGAAAAATCGCATAATGTTGTATTCAGGCAATAGCGCGAACCTTTTCCTGCCACTACCGGATCTTTATTTAACGTAAGATATTCTAATTCACTAAAATTTAATTCCATGTTAAGTTAAGTTAATACAACAATTCAATGAATTCCAATATACTGTTACTGTGATCTTTATTCCTAATAATAATATATGATAATTTCTAAACTAAAACTATAACAAATGTTATAATAAAACATGAATAAAACATTTTTATTATTGCTTTTTTTCTTCTCAACTGAGTACATTTTTTAATCAACTTAATTTTTTTTTAACAATAAATCACAAAATTTTGGCCATTTAAATCATAGATAAATGTAATATAATTGATTTAAATATTGTCAAATATCAGAAACAATAATATGACAAAACGCAACACGTAATACACATTTTTTCACAGAAAAATGTATTATATTTTAGCAAAATTTTGGAATACGTTTAAGTCGTAGAATAATTTTAACAGTTGTTTTCGATACATATTTGAGTCCTCTACAAATAGTTTCTCATGACTTTTGGTGTAAAATAATTAGGGAAGCAGGAATTCAACAATTTAGAATTTCCCATTGAGTTTCCTATGGTCCGTTTGACGATTCACCACCCTGTATATATATATATATATTATATATAATATATATAATATATATATATATATATATATATATAGTCAGTTTTTCGTTATCGACCATCAAATAATTAAAATAAATGTATATTATCAGGCTTTTTGGTCAGAAAATAAAACGATCTTTTTTCTCGTAAACTCAATATTTCGCCATTTGGTTTATGGCTTTTTCAAGAGCGCGCTGAAAAATTATTTATTGATAGAATAAAAAAAAATAATATAACATAAAAGAACTTACAGATGTAATCGTTCAAACAGCGTAGCACAAACACAACATCTTGAGTGACAGGCTAAAAATATTAAAACACAAACACATCTTCATGAGTGACAAACTTAAATTCAACTAAAATATTGTAATAACTGATTTTGTTTAATTGTCTTTTAATTGAATCAGTTACGTGCAGTGCAATATATTAGCGAAACTAATATATTTTATAAATTAAAAAGATTTTAAGATGTTACAATAAATGGAACTAAGTCCGTTAGCGTCTGTTTTGTTGTTAATAGCATTATCTGTCCTGCTTATATTGCAGATTTGGAGAAACAGCCTATGTTTGTAATTTGAGACTTATTGTATTATTTTTCATTATCAAAATCAAATTCATGACCTGTCTTGATGAAATGTTCGACAACAGCGCATGTATTTTTTCCCCTTCTGCAATCACTTCTGTGTTGAGTGACCCGTTGCTTCAACCATTGTCCGGTTTGACCAATGTAGCATCCCTGGCATTCTAAACAATATCCGTTTTATTTTCTTACCAAAAAGCCTGATAATATACATTTATTATATATATATATATATTATATATATATATATATATATATATATATATTACCTTTATTATATAAAAATAATTTAGCTTTTATTTTTTGTTAATTAAAAATATATTTAGGTTAATAAGCTTAAGAATCCAGATTATTTGTCTCGTCCTAATCACTTCTTCACCTAATCTCGAGTAGTAGTTCGTAGCGATACCAAAACCAATTTGAGATCATTATTTTTAATTAATAACAGCTATTTACAAAATTAGGCTTTCGTACCATATAATTTTCTCACAATAATTTACATACATACGACCCAATTACAAAACAAACTACCGTGCGTTCTCGCTAACATCCCAATCTTTATTAAAGATCTGTCTATTACGCTGGCATCTGAAGTAGTTGTGAGTTTTACTAATATCGTTAATGTTCTCCTAAAACGAGATCAATATTGGGCTGTAAAATTTATCAAAGACGGAACAAGATCGAAAAGGAATGATTACAACGGTAGCCGTACGGAAAAGTTTAATGTTTCCCTATATATTGATGGTTTCTGATCACGAAAGACAAACATTTAATTCTTCATATACATATATAGTGTATATCGTAAAGATTTTAAAATAATGGGTATTTGTATTCAAATAATCTAGAACGGTAAGTTTTTTTGAAATAAGATTAAAAATACGAAAATAAAGCATAGACAGTTACATGAGATAATAGAGAAGTATATAACATATCGTTTATTTATAAGTTAAATTTTGTTATATATCTTTTACATAGTAACCACTTTTAACACTGAAGTTGAAAGAACAAAAATAATCCTCAAAAAAAAAGTGGAAGGTGGATGTTTCCAGAAGATATAACACTTTACGAAGAAAATATTAAGACTAGTTTGGATAAACACGACTTAGAGAATATCAGCATCAATGAACTGAACAATAATATTACTCAAATATTGAAAGAAGCTGAAAAGAAATACTGTCCTCGTCCTGAAAACAATAACAAAAAATTAAGAAAACATCACAAAACATCTTCTAGAGGAAAGAAGAAAACTTAGGGAAAATCAGGATCATAACCAAAATGAATTAAGAATTTTGAATAAGAAAATTAAAAAGGAAGTTAAAAAGATCTGAGACGATACAATACGATGGAAATAACTAGAGTAATAGAAGAAAACAATAGCTTGAAAGTACTCAGAGAGAGCATGTCCATCGGAAGAAAAAACGTCCACAAATTAAGAAATGAACAGGGGCAAATTATTGAGGATAGAGTTCAAATTATGAACACGATAGAGAGTTTTTATAGACAACTATGCAAAGAACAGCAATGTAACCGGAGTGGATCATTACCAAATATAATCAATCAGGGATCTGAAATTTTACAGGACGTAACACACAATAAAGTTCGAAGGTCAGTGCAAAAAATGGAAAACAATAAGTCCCCCGGAGGCGATGAAATAGTGGCAGATGCCTTGAAAAAGGCTGTAAAAGATTATGGCAGGTCCTTGCCAAACTATTTACTAGATGTTTGCAGGAAGCAATAACACCAAGCCAGTGGTATAAAGCAGAAATTATCATACTTCATAAAAAGGGGGATGCTACCGACCTCAGGAATTACAGGCCCATAGGTCTAGTTTCACATATTTATAAACTATTTTCAAAAATAATTACGAAACGACTAGAAAATAAATTGGAATTTTATCAACCCATAGAACAGGTGGGTTTTAGAAAAGGCTATGGAACAAACGATCACCTACTGGTAATAAAAAATCTTATAGAAAAATGCACTGAATATAATAAACCACTAGCTTTAATATTTGTCGACTGTGAAAAGGCATTCGACAGCATAAATCAACAAAAAATGTTAAAAGCCCTGACAGAATGCCGAATTGACTATCTGTATATAAATATAATTAAACACATATACCAAAACGCAATAGCCAGTTTTAGAGTGGATGATCGTCAAATCCAGAAATTCCTGATACAACGTGGAGTACGCCAGGGGGACACCATATCGCCGAAACTGTTCACTACGCTTTCGGAATATATATGTAAAAGGGCAAAACTAACCGACAAGGGCATAAACATAAACGGAGAAAAGCTTAGCCATCTATTGTTTGCAGATGATATTGTACTAATAGCTGATAGGATAGATGAGGCCAAAGAACTTTTAAATCAATTCTACCTTTCCTCGCTAGAAGGGGGATTGAAAATAAATATATCTAAAACCCAGATGATGACAAATCTTGTAGTCAGCGAAGATAAATGTGTAGGAACAAGATCCATAGACCAGGTAATGGCCTATAAATACCTAGGTCATGAGATCCGCATAGAAAAAGATAACCGAACCGTTGAGCTTCTTCGTCCTATAAGACTGACTTGGGCAGCCTTCGGCAAGCCCATATCCCATATTTTCAAATCGTCAACCATAACCAATATGCATTAAAAGAAAAACCTTTAATCAGTGTGTTTTGCCAGTGTTGACTTACGGTGCGGAAACGTTGACCATGACAAGGAGAATAGTTCAAAAGATCCGTGTGTGTTAAAGGACGATGGAGCATGCTATGTTAGTCGTTTCACTACGAGACAAGATCCCAAATCGCCAGCTACGACAAAGAACAGGAGTGGCTAATGCAGTAGAGAGAGTAGCGACACAGAAGTTACTAATTCCACTAAACTGGGCAGGTCACGTGGCTCGAATGACAGATAATAGATGGACAAAGCGGATACTGGAATGGAGACCAAGAGATGATGCCTACCGAAGCACAGGTCGTCCACCAACACGTTGGACTGACGATCTAAAACGTTGTCATATAAATTGGATGCAAGAGGCACCAGCTTGAAATAGATGGAAAGTTATGAGGGAGATCTATGTCCAGCAGTGGATAAGCGAAGATTGAATGATGATAGTAACCACATGATAGAACACTACTACTAAACATTATACGAGTCAAAAGCAACACCAGTTAAACCCGAAAAATTTTAAAAAATGTTGGATCTCAACATATACCAGATATAACAGAGGACGAAATAAGAAACGCAATTAGCACTATGCGAAATATATATAATAAATATATATAATAAAATAAATAATTATTAATTTTGTCTTTTTTGCAGTTTAGTTTTAGGCCGTATTTGTAACGTTTCCTTTGAAGTCCTTGCGTTAATTAACTCAATAAATTTGAGATTTTCCTTGGAGTTTCACCGGGAGCTTTCCATGTATAAAGTCTTCTTGGATGTAATTGCAAAAATGTATTCATTACAACCATAGTGAGGCATTTACCCACCCAACTTGAGGATTTTCCTAGAAGAGTTTTTTAATCCAGCTGAGATCAGAAATAGAATATTAGAAACAAGCAGTACAGAAGAAAATACGTTTAATCTACCAGAAAATTTGGTTGCAAAAGAAATAGAAAAAAGTTGTGTTATGAAAAAAATGGCGCAACAAAAGCAAGATAGCACTAACAATAAAGAAAATGAGACCAGAGGTGATCAGGAGGATAAGAATACGAAAAAAATGTACCTAAAAAATATAATTACACTGCACAAAATTTCTCCAGTACCTGTAGCAAGTGAAACTAGAAAAAGAAAGTCTAGACAAACAATCTCGGGAGTTTTAACAACTAGTTCTAATTTGACATAACTCAAGCAGAAGGGAGAAAAGGAACAACATGAGGATTTTTATTGATTTAAAAGGAAAATTTTCGCTCCAGGGAGTGTTGGATTAGTTGCAAAATATGCAATAATTGGGGACATTGTGAATGAATCGGAGTATCTTCTTCTTGTAGTTTCTTATCTTATCTGGGGATGGCTATCATTACAGCTATCCATACCTTATTGGCGGCTGCTCTGAAAAGATCTACTGAGCTGCAACGATACCACCCTCTTCGGTTTCTTAACCAGGAAATTCTTCGTCTTCCTATGGATCTTTTATCCTTGATTTTACCTTGCATTATGAGCCTTAATATCTCATATTTCGCACCTATGGTAATGTGGTCTAAATATTCCAGCTTTTTGTTTGACCTCGCAATCCTTTTGTAGCCTTCACTTCTTCTGTAACACTTCTGCATTTGTAACTCATTGGGTTCATGGTATTTTCAAAATCCTTCTATAGCACCACATCTCAAATGATTACAACTTTTTTGTATTATCCACTTTTAGGGTCCAGTTTTCCATTTCGTACAACAAAGAGAATACGTTGCATCCTTAGGCCGTTATCCTCAGCTCCAGAGGAAGGTCTCGATTAACAAACATTGTTTTCATTTTTATAAATGCTTGTCTTGCAATTTTAATGCGTGTCCTTATTTCTCTAGCTTGGTCATTGTTGTTATTTACCCAGGTTCCCATATAGTTACTCACTCTTTCTACTTGTTTTTCCTCTCTCGTTCCTAGTCCTCCTGAGAATCTAAATTGGGTGTTCAATTATCTATCCATATCGTCTTCTATTTTTTTTAATAGTCATCCATGTATTACTTTGAGAAATATGTTAAGTGTGTGACTTATTAAGGAATATGTTCTGTACTGGGAGCATTCTGTCGCATGTACTGACTTTGGTAGTGTTACAAACGTGGACAGCAACCAATTTTCTGGTATTACTCCTGTTGAATATACAACAGTTGTATATACTTTGTTGAACAGATGTTAAAGGATATGCAGTGTTTCTTCGTCAATGCATTTAATTAGCTCAGTGGGTATCTGATATGGGCCTACTGATTTTGCGGTTTTTGCATTTCTAATTGCCTGTTCTAATTCGCACATTATTATTTTCGGTCCTGTTTGTTCCTGTGGTTATTCTCATATTATAATATCATCGTCGAATAGTTTCATTATGTATTCTTACCAAAATCTTAGTTTATCTTTGATGTCTGTAATGAGTTTACCATTGCCTTCTTTGAGTATCCCATAGTGTGCTCGCTTTTTGGTATTTGTTTGTTCTTTTATTTTTTATGCATATTAAAGCTGTCGTATTTTCTGTCATACTCTTCTATTTTTATGCATTGATATGTTAACCACGTTTCTTTGGCCTTTTTTATCTCTACTTTAATTCTACATTGTAGTTCTTGATATTTTGGCTCATTTCTATCTTTGGCTTTTTTTCCCCTCTTCCAATAATGCTCGAATTTCTAAAGTCATTTACTTTTGTTTTTTATTTGTCTTTTCAGGCTTAAGGTGTATCTGCAAAAGTAAAAAAGTTTATTTGTCAGTTTTGCCAAGACTGATGTTTTGTTATTTTATCTACCTATATTTTTATGTTTTCATGTTGTTACCATTTTACCATTTGTTGCGAGTACATATATGTCATTTTACACCTTCATGACTGTGTCACTTTACATGATAGATGTTTGCAAAATGACATGGTATAAGAATTTTTTTAAAAATACTTTTTCACAAGTTTTTTATACAGATGAAGAATGTGTTATATTTTTTTTCAGTTCAATATTTCGAATGGTATCTGCAAAAAAATGTCTCATATAAAAAGTATGTCATTTCAGGACACCTTCCCCTACCAATGAATCATAAAAAGAATGGCTAAAGGTAGTAAGAATGATGGAAGTCTAACTAAAGGGCTAAACTATTCAGAGTAACAGACATTCGAAAAAATACATCAGTTAGAGTAAGACACCTGGATGCTTAATATTTGTCCTATGGAGTTGGAATTTTATGGATGGGAGCGAGCGAAAGATACTTGGAAAAATATACAGAGGTTTTAAAAGAGGAAAATGTCTGGCAAAGCAGAATCAATAACTAAATACTTGCTATTTAGTATTTGCTAAATTTAAAAATTAATACGGCTCAGGTTTCAATAATTTTTTATCAACTTTGTTGTTACCGAATCCGTCTTCAATTGTTCTACATTATGTTGCAGTCCTATTTGCAATATTCCACAGACGTTTAGAATACCACACGATATACGGAACATTGAACACACTGTATAGACAAAATAACTTCGATAACACCCAAAGACATTATCGTGAAGGTGACATTAAGAGTACGATTGATTTGATAAAATTCTAACGATAAAGCGTTGAAAATCTACAAAGATACCTTTGTATCGTATAAAAATAACAAATCTAAACATACCAATAACTCACGTACTAATTATTCGAATGGAATGAAACTAATATTCCTGAAAAAGAAAAATTCTTGGAATATTCAAACGGTCCGTTCTTAGATATCAATAACTATCTGGTTTCAGTGCATCGATAAAATCTTAACGTTGTTGTGATCTTAATAACGAGACAAGAAGATTATACGAATTTTATATATATCACGAATATTTCTTATGCCATCCGCGCTATAATTCAATTAAAAATAGTCAGAAACGGACTAGCCCGAAAGTATATATATCCAGATCACGATATTGTTTTATTGACTATACAACACAATGGCAATCGCTGTGACATGTTAAACGTTTCCACCTATATATTCATTTCACAGTAGGTACGAATTGTCGTAATTGTCATATTGACATTAAAAATTTCAAACGAAGTTATGAAAGAATAAACAAACAATTAATAAAATGCCTATTACGTTGTATACCATCCAAGAAAAAGTGCAAATTGTAACATGGTACTTTCAAGGTCATTCGATACGAGAAGTAATTGATTTGTTTATTGTTGCCTTAATAATACCATTAAACATTTTCAATCATCGGGATGTGTAAACAGATGTCGATAAGGAGCGTCAAAACACAGATATTGATTTTTTGTGCTATTGTGGAAGCTAGTGATCCTCTAATAGTGTACAAATTGCTAGGAAAGTTAACGTGAAGGCTCGTACTGTCCAGCGAGTTCTCAAAAAAAATGGGTATCACTGTTTTCATATACAGCCAACACAAGACCTGTTTCCGGAAGATAACTTTAGGTGGATGAAGTTTTGTGAATTTATGTTAGATAAACAGAATGAAAATGTACACTTTTTAAAAAATATTTTATTTTCTGACGAATCTTGATTTTCATTACATAAAAAACACAATCTGCAAAAGTTAAATGTTTGGACTGGGATGTTAGGCGATCATATTGTCGGTCCATATTTTTCGAATTATTTAGTGTTTTTCTTTATATTTAAGAACTAAATGTTAATTAAGTTAACTAAATTAGCAGTTTCAATTAACCGGTCTAGATTTATCTAGTGAGCTATTTTTTACATTATTGTTGTTTCCACTTTATCGGGTACTTTTTCTTGTAGCTATTGAAAAGAAACGTAAATACATTTAAAAGCTCGAGCAATAAAAAATAGTCTTCTACAGCTCTTTTATTGACTCCATCCCACTCAAACTCAATATTGTTTTTTTTTTCAAAAGGGTATGTTGCTTTCTGCACATACGATGGCATTTATATAACATATAAAGCCATCAGAAAGGAAGAGATTATATATGTTCAATCTTGAACTCGCTGGTTTTTTCCTTTCGCATTGGGTATGCATATTACCATCGAAAAATAATAAGCCAGTAGACTATATAAAACTCTATCTAGAAACAAGTAAAATTAAAAGAAAAATATACCTAAATATACATACATTCAAACTTAATTAAAGATCAAGAGCTACAAGTACAAATTTAAATATTATGTGATACGAAAAGACCAAATGCAAGGAAGCTATCCATACAGCTGCTAAAGGCTTTTTAAAACCTAACCAGACTAAAATAAACGAAGATAGGTTTGACGAAGAATGTAGATCCATTAACCAACAGAAAAATGAAACATATAAGGACTTTAGCAGCGCAGAACGAGATCAAATCTGGAAGAATATGAAAATCTTAGACGAGAAGAAAAGAGGACGAAAAAAGAGCTATACGAAAACGTTCTAAACGAGATTGTTAACCACCACAATAGAAAAAACTCGCGAAAATTCTACCATAGGATAAAAAGCTGCAGAAAAAAATTCAAACCCAGAATAACAGTATGTAAAAACAGAGATGGTTTCATAATTAGTGACAGATACTAAACAGGTGAACGAATCATTTTGAAAAACTGCTTAGCGACAATCATGAAGAAGACCAAATACAAATTACTTTGCCTGAAATGGATGAAAACACCGTAAAAAAAATTAGAGAAGCCTTTCAAAACTGAAAAATAACAAAACCCCTAATTTGGACAATCTTCCTACCTCTCTCTGGAACTCTTTAAAAATGGTGGTGACACCTTTTTTTAAACACATGCATAAATTAGTAACCGAAATCTGGCAACGGAAGGAAACGCCCGCAGACTGGAAATTAGGTGTAATGCACCCTTTTCACAAAAATGAAGATATGATGGCGTGTGATAATTATAGAGGCATCACCCTACATAACATATAAAGTATTGTCATATAAAGTATTGTCCAACGTATTGTACAGAAAATTGATCTCCTATGCTAAACAAATAGTTAGGAACTAGCAGTGCGGTTTCTGACCCAATAAATCAACAACAGATCAAATCTTCACAGTCAGGCAGATTCTTGAGAAAACGCTTGAGTTCGGAGTCGACATCCACCACATATTCGTAAATTTCAAAGCCGCATTCGACTAAGTCAACAGACAAAAACTTTTACAGGCTAGGACTGAGACAGGTAGATAGACTGTCGTGTCTCTTATTTAACTTTGTACTAAAAAAAGTAATTCGAGAGTGTCATATTAATATGAATGGTACCAGCTTTAATAAA